GCCAGAGAGCTCCTCATTTTAGCAGCCGCAAGAAATTTGGACAGTTACAAGAAAGAGGACAAGCATTTTGGTACAATTAGATGCCCATAAAATATAAACCACTGTCCATTTAATAGTGCACAAAGTTGGTCTTGTACAACGATAACAGACGTGTAATTATACCGTTGTGCTCAGTAACAAAAAAATTTTTTAATTTCGAAATCCCTTTTTTAAAAGAGGGTGGAGGGCTCCTGGTAACTCCTGAGCTGCAGGTTGGAGATCCCTGGTTTAAAACATAGAACTGTGATCAAATCTGGACGGTGAACCCAAGATGGCATTTTATTGTTTTCAGTGGATTTTGGAAAAAAAAAAAAAAAAGTTTTCTGTATTACTTCTTGAACACTGGCCTTATGCTGCAAAATATGTGACGTCAGAAACATGAAGTTCTTTAGGCACTTTGACGATTTAAACATTTTTTTACAGATCTGACCAGTTGTAGTTCTGTTTTTTAAAGCAAAAATTACATCCCGTCCCTTTAAAAGCATTTCCCTTTTCCACTTTCTCACTTTGCCCCATGTTTTACACGTTACCAGTTTCCTATTTAAGCGTTAGGTCTGAACACCTTCTGTCTCCATGGAAACCCACTCAGACCCAGCAGAAAAGTTACACAGATCACCTTTAAATTTCAGGCACAAAACAAAAACACGACCAGTGATGTTTACACGAGAATGTCTCTCAGAAAAACCCCAAACCTCACAGATATTTAGCCCTGGGTTAGATGAGTCGGAGTTTGTTGAGTCCAGATCAGTTGAGTTGGGGTCAGTTTAGTTGAGTTGGGTTTAGTTGAGTTGGGTTTAGCTGAGTCGAGGTCAGTTGAGCTGGGTTTAGCTGAGTGGGGTTTAGCTGAGTTGGGTTAAGTTGGAGTTGAGTTTAGTTGAGTTTGGATCACTTGAGTCGGGGTCAGTTGAGTCAAGGTCGGTTGAGTTGGCATAAAATGAGTTGAGATTAGTTGAGTTGGATTTAGTTGAGTCAGGTTTAGTTGAGTCGAGTTTAGTTGAGTTGAGATTAGTCGAGTTGGATTTAGTTGAGTTGGGATCAGTTGAGTTGGGTTTAGTTGAGTCTGGTTTAGTTGAGTCGGGTTTAGTTGAGTTGAGATTAGTCGAGTTGGATTTAGTTGAGTTGGGATCAGTTGAGTCGGGTTTAGGCAAGTTGGGTTTAGTTGAGTCGGGGTTGTCAGCTGAGTTGGGTTAAGTTGAGTTGGGTTTAGTTGAGCCGGGATTCGTTGAGTTGGGATCAGTTGAGTCAAGGTCGGTTGAGTTGGCATAAATTGAGTTGAGATTAGTCGAGTTGGATTTAGTTGAGTTGGGATCAGTTGAGTTGGGTTTAGTTGAGTCAGGTTTAGTTGAGTCGGGTTTAGTTGAGTTGAGATTAGTCGAGTTGGATTTAGCTGAGTTGGGATCAGTTGAGTCGGGTTTAGGCAAGTTGGGTTTAGTTGAGTTGGGTTTAGTTGAGTCGGGATTCGTTGAGTTGGGATCAGTTGTAGTCAGGTTTAGTTGAGTTGGGTTTAGTTGAGTCGGGATTCGTTGAGTTGGGATCAGTTGTAGTCAGGTTTAGTTGAGCTGGGTTTAGCTGAGTCGGGTTTAGTTGAGTTGGGTTAAGTTGGAGTTGAGTTTAGTTGAGTTTGGATCACTTGAGTCGGGGTCAGTTGAGTCAAGGTCGGTTGAGTTGGCATAAATTGAGTTGAGATTAGTTGAGTTGGATTTAGTTGAGTTGGGATCAGTTGAGTCGGGATTCGTTGAGTTGGGTTTAGGCAAGTTGGGTTTAGTTGAGTCGGGTTTAGGCAAGTTGGGTTTAGTTGAGTCGGGTTTAGGCAAGTTGGGTTTAGTTGAGTCGGGTTTAGGCAAGTTGGGTTTAGTTGAGTCGGGTTTAGGCAAGTTGGGTTTAGTTGAGTCGGGTTTAGGCAAGTTGGGTTTAGTTGAGTCGGGTTTGGGCAAGTTGGGTTTAGTTGAGTCGGGTTTAGTCAAGTTGGGTTTAGTTGAGTCGGGTTTGGGCAAGTTGGGTTTAGTTGAGTCGGGTTTAGGCAAGTTGGGTTTAGTTGAGAGTCGGGTTTAGTTGGAGTTGGGTTTAGTTGAGTCGGGTTTAGGCAAGTTGGTTTAGTTGAGTCGGGGTTGTCAAGTTTAGTTGAGTTTAGTTGAGTTGGATTTAGTTGAGTTGGGTTTTAGTTGAGTCGGGTTTAGGCAAGTTGGGTTTAGTTGAGTCGGGTTTAGGCAAGTTGGGTTTAGTTGAGTCGGGTTTAGCAAGTTGGGTTTAGTTGGTTTAGTTGAGTTTAGTCGGGTTTGGGCAAGTTGGGTTTAGTTGAGTCGGGTTTAGGCAAGTTGGGTTTAGTTGAGTCGGGTTTGGGCAAGTTGGGTTTAGTTGAGTCGGGTTTAGGCAAGTTGGGTTTAGTTGAGTCGGGGTTGTCAGCTGAGTTGGGTTTAGTTGAGTTGGATTTAGTTGAGTTGAGTTGAGTCGGGTTTAGTTGAGTTGGGTTTAGTTGAGTCGGGTTTGGGCAAGTTGGGTTTAGTTGAGTCGGGTTTAGGCAAGTTGGGTTTAGTTGAGTCGGGGTTGTCAGCTGAGTTGGGTTTAGTTGAGTTGGATTTAGTTGAGTTGGGTTTAGTTGAGTCGGGTTTAGGCAAGTTGGGTTTAGTTGAGTCGGGGTTGTCAGCTGAGTTGGGTTTAGTTGAGTTGGGCTTAGTTGAGTCAGGATTCGTTGAGTTGGGATCAGTTGTAGTCAGGTTTAGTTGAGTTGGGTTTAGCTGAGTCGAGGTCAGTTGAGTCGGGGTTGTCAGTTCAGTCGGTGTTGGATAAGTTTGGATCAGATGAGTTGAGATTAATCGAGTTGGGTTAAATCGATTTGGGTTTAGTCGAGTTGAGTTTAGTTGAGTTGAGATTAGTCGATTTGGGTTTAGTCGAGTTGAGTTTAGTTGAGTTGAGATTAGTCGATTTGGGTTTAGTTGAGTTGGGTTTAGTCGAGTTGTGGTCATTTGTCAGGGTCAGTTGAATCAGGATCAGTTGAGTCTGGGTTGGTTCCAGTTAGTCTCAGTTGATCCAGGCGTATTCCAAAAATCCGTTCTCATCCCAGAGTTTACAGCGCGTCACCACAGGATCGTCGGACGCAACCACAGTGAAGTTGTCAGAGATCAGAGCCACGGACGGAAACTCAGACCACGACGCCTCCATTTTACCTGAAACAGGCAATCACAAAAAAATTAACAAAGCGACTCAGTCACATAAACAATCCATTCCGATCCACATGGACAAAATAAAAAAAAAAATCATGACTTTTTCATGACCTAAAGTGAATTTTCCATGACTTTACAGCACCTACATGTGTAGAATTGATCAAACTTTTAGGGCTAAATATGAAAGGTTAACTCTTTCCACTCACCTTATGGTTAGGGATTACTGACTCCATCAGGACTAAACCAGGTCTAAACCAGGACTAATCTTGGAGAGAGAGAGAAAGCAAACCCCCGGCCCCGTGGAGCAGGTGTCCAAAAAGCACAATCATGCGACGGCTGCATGTGCCTCCTCGTCTCCGAGCTCTGCACCGGTCCTTTCGCCAACAGACACTCGACAGTCTACACGAGAGGACCTCCGAGCACAATCCAACAGCGAGTCCCGGTTCAGTTCTGGTTCAGTCCTGGTTTAGTCCTGGTTTAGTCCCGAGTCCTTGTAGAATTGGTGTCTGACATCGTAAATTACGTTATATTTCTCCACTTCGGGGATTAACTTTTCGTGGTCCATCATTAACCTTTCCTTGGACACAGCGCGTTGTTTAGGTCGTTGTCTTGACTTTGGTTAACTTATTTTGAAGGGGCATCGGAAGTTTATTTTGACACCACATGTTTATTTCCTGTCTTTCCCCTGCTGAAAAACTCGGAGAAGCGCCGTTGATGCTGCAAAATTAGAAGTTCAACCTCTCGAGCAGCGCGTCAGTGTCAGATGCTCGTTGGACGTGCGTATGACACTGTCGGTGTCACTGTCAGACCGGTTCAAATGGAAAGCTAAAGCTGCGCGTCTGCTGCTCGTGTGCTGTGTGCTGTTGCGCTTTGGTGTGACTTGGGGTTAAGACCCAGAGCATCAAAAAAGAAAATGAGATTTATAAAACATAATACGTTGCTTTCATCAGGTAACATAGGCTACGTTCAGACTGCAGGGCTTAACGCTCAATTCCGATTTTTTTGTGAAATCTGATGTTTTTTCGAGGTCGTTCACATTTCCAATTAAATGTGACTTGTATGTGACTCCAGTGTGAACAGTAAATGACCCGAAAGTGTCCCACATGTGCACAGAAGACACGACGACGTCAACCACAGCGAGCGTCTCTGTGTTTACAGAAGTTGTCCAAACACGGACGCAGCATCGAGCACCTGGAGATTTTAAAGTTCCTCTCGTACCGGAGCCAGAACATGAACAACTTACTTGTTTTAAGGAGGAGATTGAGAAGGAGAAGGACGAGGTTTTTGGTCGTGGTGTTTTGTGGTTCAGTCTGTTGAAAGGAACGTGTGGATGTGGAGACGGAGCCAAGAGTGGTGAGTGGTGATGTGCTTCACTTCAGTGACACAGAGTTCATTAACAATTTTCGCCGACTTCAGCGCAGAATAGTGACGTTTGTGTCTTGTTAATAAACGTGTAGGTGGATGAATGCACTTTGGTCGTTCAGACTGAAGTCACATGTCAAAAGATCAGATATGTATCGGTTTCAGGAGCACATATCCAAGTGTCCTGGGTCACATTTGAAAAAATCGGATCTGTCATTAAAAGATCAGATACAGGAACACAGAGGCCAAAAAATTGGACTTGGGTCACTTCAGGCTGCAGACTGAACGCAGCCTTAGTGATCTAAATATTATGTAACGTGTTTGCAGTTTCCCCCACTTCAAAAAAATACCAACACACTGATAAAGAACGACTGTCTTCCAATAAACAATAATAAAACCAGAATATTTGACCTTGTTTGATGAAGTANTGGGTTTAGTTGAGTTGGGTTTAGTCGAGTTGTGGTCATTTGTCAGGGTCAGTTGAATCAGGATCAGTTGAGTCTGGGTTGGTTCCAGTTAGTCTCAGTTGATCCAGGCGTATTCCAAAAATCCGTTCTCATCCCAGAGTTTACAGCGCGTCACCACAGGATCGTCGGACGCAACCACAGTGAAGTTGTCAGAGATCAGAGCCACGGACGGAAACTCAGACCACGACGCCTCCATTTTACCTGAAACAGGCAAAAAAAATCACAAAAAAATTAACAAAGCGACTCAGTCACATAAACAATCCATTCCGATCCACATGGACAAAATAAAAAAAAAAATCATGACTTTTTCCTGACCTAAAGTGAATTTTCCATGACTTTACAGCACCTACATGTGTAGAATTGATCAAACTTTTAGGGCTAAATATGAAAGGTTAACTCTTTCCACTCACCTTATGGTTAGGGATTACTGACTCCATCAGGACTAAACCAGGTCTAAACCAGGACTAATCTTGGAGAGAGAGAGAAAGCAAACCCCCGGCCCCGTGGAGCAGGTGTCCAAAAAGCACAATCATGCGACGGCTGCATGTGCCTCCTCGTCTCCGAGCTCTGCACCGGTCCTTTCGCCAACAGACACTCGACAGTCTACACGAGAGGACCTCCGAGCACAATCCAACAGCGAGTCCCGGTTCAGTTCTGGTTCAGTCCTGGTTTAGTCCTGGTTTAGTCCCGAGTCCTTGTAGAATTGGTGTCTGACATCGTAAATTACGTTATATTTCTCCACTTCGGGGATTAACTTTTCGTGTCCATCATTACTTTCTTAAGGTCGTCTTGACTTTGGTTAACTTATTTTCTTTCACGTTTACTTTCTTGGATCATTGATAATCTTTTTCGTCCTTTCAGTCTTCATTAACCTTGTCCTTGCACAGACACATCGCTGTGTTTTACACGTTGTTCATTTGACTTGAAAATATGTGGTTGTACTTATATTTGTTTGACTTTTGTTAACTTATAATTTGATTTTAGGGCATCGGAAGTTTATTTTGACACCACATGTTTATTTCCTGTCTTTCCCCTGCTGAAAAACTCGGAGAAGCTCCGTTGATGCTGCAAAATTAGAAGTTCAACCTCTCGAGCAGCGCGTCAGTGTCAGATGCTCGTTGGACGTGCGTATGACACTGTCGGTGTCACTGTCAGACCGGTTCAAATGGAAATCTAAAGCTGCGCGTCTGCTGCTCGTGTGTTGTGCTGTTGCGCTTTGGTGTGACTTGGGGTTAAGACCCAGAGCATCAAAAAAGAAAATGAGATTTATAAAACATAATACGTTGCTTTCATCAGGTAACATAGGCTACGTTCAGACTGCAGGGCTTAACGCTCAATTCCGATTTTTTTGTGAAATCCGATGTTTTTTCGAGGTCGTTCACATTTCCAATTAAATGTGACTTGTATGTGACTCCAGTGTGAACAGTAAATGACCCGAAAGTGTCCCACATGTGACACTGGAGACACGACGACGTCAACCACAGCGAGCGTCTCTGTGTTTACTGAAGTTGTCCAAACATGGACGCAGCATCGAGCACCTGGAGATTTTAAAGTTCCTCTCGTACCGGAGCCAGAACATGAACAACTTACTTGTTTTAAGGAGGAGATTGAGAAGGAGAAGGACGAGGTTTTTGGTCGTGGTGTTTTGTGGTTCAGTCTGTTGAAAGGAACGTGTGGATGTGGAGACGGAGCCAAGAGTGGTGAGTGGTGATGTGCTTCACTTCAGTGACACAGAGTTCATTAACAATTTTTGCCGACTTCAGCGCAGAATAGTGACGTTTGTGTCTTGTTGATAACGTGTAGGTGGATGAATGCACTTTGGTCGTTCAGACTGAAGTCACATGTCAAAAGATCAGATATGTATCGGTTTCAGGAGCACATATCCAAGTGTCCTGGGTCACATTTGAAAAAATCTGATCTGTGTCGTTCAGACTGTCATTAAAAGATCAGATACAGGAACACAGAGGCCAAAAAATTGGACTTGGGTCACTTCAGGCTGCAGACTGAACGCAGCCTTCGTGATCTAAATATTATGTAACGTGTTTGCAGTTTCCCCACTTCAAAAAAATACCAACTCACTGATAAAGAACGACTGTCTTCCAATAAACAATAATGAAACCAGAATATTTGACCTTGTTTGATGAAGTAGACGAGGTGGTGGGTGATGAGGTCTTGGAAGCGCTGGTCGTCCTGGAGCAGAGGAGACCCCAGCAGAGGCTCCAGACCCCTGAAGAAGGCCACGGAGTCCAGGGTGTGGAAGGAGAAGCGGCTGGGGAACAGGAGCAGAGGAGGGGAGGGGGGAGATGGCTCTGGAGGGGGTGTGGGTCAGCACGTAGCGGTACACCGGGCTGTTCAGAGCAGCTGCGACCACAAGGACAGAAGGGAGAAGATACAACTCAACGGATGAAAGTCTGAGATAATTTTACACAAGTCAGTCCACAAGTCAATGAAAAAAACTAATAAAAAAATTTAAAATATTCATAATGAAATATGGCTAAAAGTACTGATACTTTGGGACTCAGACTAAAAAGAAGACTAAACACTAAAAGGACTAAGACTAAACCACTAGGACTAAACCAGGACTAAACCGACTAAAAGACTAAACCAAGGACTAAAACCAGACTAAACCAGGACTAAACCAGGACTAAACCTAAAAGACTAAACCAAGACTAAACCAGGACTAAACCAGGACTAAAACCAGACTAAACCAGACTAAACCAGGACTAAACCAGACTAAACCAGGACTAAACCAAGACTAAACCAGGACTAAACAAAGACTAAACCAGGACTAAACCAGGACTAAACCAGGACTAAACCAGGACTAAACCTAAAAGACTAAACCTAAACCAGACTAAACCTAAAAGACTAAACCAGGGACTAAACCAAGACTAAACCAGACTAAACCAAGACTAAACCAGGACTAAACCAGACTAAACCAAGACTAAACCAAGACTAAAACCAGACTAAACCAGGACTAAACCAGGACTAAACCAGGACTAAACCAGGACTAAAACCAGGACTAAACCAGGACTAAACCCTAAACCAGGACTAAACCAGGACTAAACCAGGACTAAAAGGACTAAAAAGACTAAACCAGGACTAAACCAGGACTAAACCAGGAGACTAAACCAAGACTAAACAGGACTAAAAGGACTAAACCAGGACTAAACCAAGACTAAACCAGGACTAAACCAGGACTAAACAAAGACTAAACCAAGACTAAACCAGGACTAAACCAGGACTAAACCAGGACTAGCCAAGGACTAACAAAAGACTAAACCTGGTATAAACAAAGACTAACAAAAGATTAAACCAGGACTAAACCAGGATTAAACCAAGATTAAACATGGACTAAACTGGGACTAAACCAGGAATAAACAAAGACTAGCAAAAGATTAAACCAGGACTAAACCAAGACTAAACCTGAACTAAATCAGGACTGAACCAGGACTAAATCAAGTAAACCTTGACTACTAAAACACATCTAAACTAAGACTAAACAAGGTCTAAAGCAGGACTAAACCAGGACTAAACCAGGACGAAACCAGGATTAACCAAGGACTAACCAAAGATTAAACTAGAACAAAACCCAAATTTAACAATGACTAAACCAAGAATAAACCAGGACTAAACCAGGACTAAACTGGAAGTAAACCAGGTCTAAACCAGAACTAAGCCTTGAGAAGTAAACAAAGACTAAACCAGGACTAAACCAGGGCTGAACCAGGACTAAAGAGGGATTCAACCAGGACTAACCAAGAACTAAACCAGGTCTAAACCAGAATTTAACTATGACTAATCCAGGTCTAACAGAGGACCAAACCAGGTCTAAACCAGGTCTAAACCAGGACTAAACCAGGTCTAAACCAGGACTAAACCAGGACTAAACCAGGTCTAAACCAGGACTAAACCAGGTCTAAAACAGGGTCTAAACCAGGACTAAACCAGGTCTAAACCAGGACTAAACCAGGTCTAAACCAGGACTAAACCAGGACAAAACCTGGACTAAAACCAGGGCTGAACCAGGACTACTAAACCAGGACTAAACCAGGACTAAACCAGGACTAAACCAGGACTAAACCAGGACTAAACCAGGAACTAAACCAGGACAAAACCTGGACTAAACCAGGTCTAAACCAGGACTAAACCCAGGACTAAACAGGACTAAACCAGGACAAAACCTGGACTAAACCAGGACTAAACCAACTAAACAGGACTAAAAACTAAACAGGGACTAAACCAGGTCTAACCAGGACTAAACCAGGAACAGAGGACTAAACCAGGTCTAACAGAGGACTAAACCAGGTCTAAACCAGGACTAACCAGGACTAAACCAGGACTAAACCAGGTCTAAACCAGGACTAAACCAGGTCTAAACCAGGACTAAACCAGGTCTAACAGAGGACTAAACCAGGACTAAACCAGGTCTAAACCAGGACTAAACCAGGTCTAAACCAGGACTAAACCAGGACTAAACCAGGACTAAACCAGGTCTAAACCAGGTCTAAACCAGGTCTAAACCAAGACTAAACCAGGACTAAACCAGGACTGAACCAGGACTGAACCAGGACTAAACCAGGACTAAACCAGGTCTAACAGAGGACTAAACCAGGACTAAACCAGGTCTAAACCAGGACTAACCAGGACTAAACCAGGACTAAACCAGGTCTAAACCAGGTCTAACAGAGGACTAAACCAGGACTAAACCAGGACTAAACCAGGTCTAAACCAAGACTAAACCAGGACTAAACCAGGACTGAACCAGGACTAAACCAGGACTAAACCAGGTCTAAACCAGGTCTAACAGAGGACTAAACCAGGACTAAACCAGGACTAAACCAGGACTAAACCAGGACTGAACCAGGACTGAACCAGGACTAAACCAGGTCTAAACCAGGTCTAAACCAGGACTAAACCAGGACTAAACCAGGTCTAAACCAGGTCTAAACCAGGTCTAAACCAGGTCTAAACCAGGACTAAACCAGAGTGGTACCGGTTGCTCTCCGGGCCAGCTCGTGGTTGGGGCAGGTGACTCGGATGTCGGAGGTCATGGTGGTGTAGGCTCTCTCGGGGCAGCGGTCTCGGGTGGGGCAGGGGGCAGAGGGCGAGTACTGCTCCAGCGCCAGACGAGGCAGAGACTCGTTGAAGGTGGAGAGTTTTTCTGAGCAGAGAAACAAAACGAGACGGTCAAACATTTCATTTATTTTTTTTCCCTTTGTTTTATTTGTACAATACAGTGGGTGGGGATTGATTAATAAAGAAATGTAAATTTTTTGATCTGTGAAAGGAGCAGAGAATTAAATAAAAAATAAACTCTTTAAAAAACATGTTTGAATTATTTTTATTTTGAATGTCAACTAATAAAATGATATGTATACCTTTTTAAAGTGTTTACAATTTAATGTAAAAAAAAAAAAAAAAAAAAACACCTTTTAAACATTCAGCACAAATATTTTCAGGCCCTCAAATTCAACAATGATAATTCAGAGAGTAAAAGTCACAGTGAAAAAGCAGCAGAAGCAATCGACCCAAAGTGATCCGATCTAATTTAGTAACAAACAGGAAATGGAGCAGAGAAGTGATCTGATTGGTCAGAATTATCCTCATCCAAACTTCATCTCTTTGATTTTTTAAGAGTACAGTGTCCCTCGTTTATCGCGGGGTTACGTTCTAAAAATAACCCACGATACAAGACACAAGACAGTGAATTTTGCATCCTTTTGTTATTTTTCTCCTTCTTTATGTAAAGAACCAACGATTCATTTATTCTGTAATGGAGCCTACAGCACAGAGTCCTGCACGGGTCTGTTTTTGGAGACCCCCACCCATGCGGTACAGGACCACACCTGCCCATATATAATCTTGGGTTTTTCTTTTGCTGCATCCACCACAGACTGAACCAAAACTAAACCAGGACTAACCCAGGACTGATTCCAGGACTGAACTAGGACTAAACAAGAACTCAGTGTCAGGACGGACTCGGAGGTGACCGCAGGAGAAAGGACCGGCTCAGCTCTGCACCTCACGGAGGTAATCGCAGCCGTCGCCTGATCGCACTTTGTGGACACCCTGCTCGGGGTTCTCTCTCTTAAAGGTTGTATGGAGGATTTTTGTTTTTGTTTTTTTTGTTTCAAATTGTCAGTGATAGATTATAGAGGTGCAGTAGTCTTGTAATTATGATGACCAAAAAAAAGAGAATAAAAATTCATCAACTCTGGACGTGGTGGGGCTAAACATTTGCCAATAGATAACGACACTGCCTCGTTATCTGTGAGCTGACAGGCTGTCAATCAAACTCCCTACGTTTCTAGAGTAACTGACTTGCCTGCGCCGCCGTGACGTGGTTTATGTACGACTGTCACACAGTCCACAGACGCAAGACGCACAGACGCTGTTTACTCCACCAACGCAACAGTTCTTAGCGGCTTTTTTGACCTATATCTTCCTCGCAGTTCGCACAAAGTTTGTTGCAATGGCGACAAGAATCCAGGAGCAGTTCGCCGCAAAAGAAAGTCCGTTTTTGAGGTCGCTGAAAGAAGAAGACAAGGGGAAAAGCAGCGAAGCCAAACTAAGGTGATTCTTGAAGATTCATTCCAGCGATGGCGCGACTGAAGCAGACGAAGGGTCTAAAGACTGAACGCACTGGTCCACAAATTACTCCTGGACAGGAAACTTCTGCTTATTATGAAAACGTACTTTATTTCCAAGAGCTAGACAAACGTTTTTTCAGGACACGAAAGCGATATCCTATGTCTGAAAACGTAATTTTCAAGGCAAAGAAAGAGTCCGCTTGCTGCTGCGTGTTGTAGCTAGTTCATTCACACTGAATCTCCGCGCACCTTCTCTGCTCCCCTTTCCTGCTCCTCTCCCCGCTGCCCGATCCACTCTTCCCCTCCTCCTCACTTCTCCGGGCACGGAATCTCCGTGCACCCCTCCCCTCTCCTCTCCTCTCCTCTCTCCTCTCTCCCCTCCTCTCTCCCTGCTCCTCACTTCTCGTCCGCGAACGAAATGTCCGCACACCCCCTCCCCCGCTCCTCACTTCTCCGTCTTGCCTAACCAACACTGTAGTTAGTTGTTTACAAGTCATGTGCAGCACCGGCTGTAAACAAACCTGTTTCTGGCGTAAGGAGGAGGAGGGAGGAGGTGTTTCTACGTAGGAGCTGTAGGGGAGGGGGAGGTGGTTTCACGCATGCGCAACATTTGAAAAAGGACAAACAGTCGCTGGATTTCTCGTTCCTTGGAAAATCCTCTATACAACCTTTAAGTCCAAGATAAGTCCTGGTTTAGGCCTGGGTTAGTCCTGGTTTAGTCCTGACCCACCCGTGTGAAATCACTACCCGCCCTTAATCAGGATGCAGGGGGAGGGACACAATGTGCGTTCATATACTGTAAAAAAAAAAAAAAAAAACATGCAAAATTGCACTAAAAAAATCAGCGAAACAGCGGATCGAAGGTGAATCGCGATATAGTGAGAGACGACTGTAAACTCCACCCACAGACGAGAACGACCAATAGGAAACAGCAGAGATGGAACCAAGTCATTGTTTTGCAAGTCTCAAATCTTTGACCTCAAGTCCGAGTCAAGTCCCAAGTCCAATATAGACAAGTCCAAGTCGAGTCCAAGTCGTCTGCTTTGAGCTTCAAGCCATTTCAAGTCTTTAAACCAAAGTACCAAATATAGCTTAGATTTTTTGAAATTTATATGAATTTTAAGATAAATTGTATTTTAAAAAATCACGGTATATGGAGTATTTATATAAGAGTTGTAGAAATGCAATTTTTTTTTTTCCTTTTAAAATGTCTTGACAAGATCTTAGTGCGAATCATTATGGTTAGAACACAGAGTCTCCTCAAGTCACAGGCCTCAAGTCCAAGTCAAGTCCCAAGTCATTGAGCTCCAAATCTAAGTCGAGTCCCGAGTCTTGGTCTATTTTATCAAGTCAAGTCTCGAGTCCTAAAAATAGTGGCTCAAGTCTGACTCGAGTCCTCTGGGAAACAGCCTCTGTCCTCCTCGCGCACAGGATCGATTTTTTTCTGTCTTGGCATCTTGGATCTTTGCTGTGAAATTTTTAAATTTTACACTCTGAATTTTGACTGTTCAATTTGAGGACTTGAAAATATGTGTGCTGAATATTTAAAAGGTGACATTTTTATTTTTTTATTTGAAACATATTGAAAAAGAAGACTGAAAAAAAAAATAAACAAAAATTCTGAATAAAAATAATTCTTTTTTTTTTCAGAGCCAAAAAATTCTAACTGAGAAATGTATCAGTATTTAAAATTGAAAATCTGATGGAACAAATGATCTTCCGTAGTAAATCGAGTCCTTACGCGTCACAAACCAGCGGTAGTCCCCCCACGTCCAGAGGGAGATGTTCGGCGAGGGGGGGTAGAAGTCGACCTCCTGCTCCGTGGTGCCGATCACAAACGGCACGTCGCTGTAGCCCCGCCCCCCCCGCGCCCACAGAGAGAGCGGCGCGTCGGGCAGCACGTGCCCGTCCACCACCGCCACGGCTCCGGGCAGCAGGCCCCGGGTCGGCAGCTCCGTCCCGTCGTCGTACGCCCAGAACGGGTACTCCTGCCACGGGACGGCCTGACGGGAGCACAGGGACAAACAAGGGAGGATTTCAAAACTATTTCATCAAGATTTTTAACTAAAACTAAGCAGTGGTCAGTGTTTCGAAGGTGACTTTTAAAATGTAATCCCCTACAGATTACAGATTACAGACGGCAAAATGTAGTTTGTAACATAATCCGTTAAATGACTTAAGGTGAGTAATGTAATCTGAATACTTTGGATTACTTGATTTTCTGTAGAGAAGCAAAGACGAGGAAATCTTCACATAAGAAGTTTTATCTGATAAAAGAAAATAAAAAGCCCAGACTTTACTGAACCAGAATTGATAGACGACGAGGAGACACGTCCCTGCGCGGCATGGTTTAGTCCTGTTTTAAATCCTGGTTTAGACCTGGTTTAGACCTGGTTTAGATCCTGGTTTAGACCTGTTTAGTTTTAGACCTAGTTTAGACCTGGTTTAGACCTTGGTTTTAGTCCTGGTTTAGATTTGGTTTAGACCTGGTTTAGACCTGGTTTAGACCTACTGGTTTAGACCTAGTTTAGACCTGGTTTTAGACCTGGTTTAGACCTGGTTTTAGACCTGGTTTTAGATTTGGTTTAGTCCTGGTTTAGACCTGGTTTAGACTTAGTTTAGACCTAGTTTAGACCTGGTTTTAGACCTGGTTTAGACTTAGTTTAGACCTAGTTTAGACCTGGTTTAGACCTGGTTTTAGACCTGGTTTTAGATTTGGTTTAGTTTAGACCTGGTTTAGACCTGGTTTAGACCTGGTTTTAGACCTGGTTTAGACCTGGTTTAGACCTTGGTTTAGACCTGGTTTTAGACCTGGTTTTAGACCTGATTTTAGACCTGGTTTTTAGACCTGGTGGTTTAGACTTGGTTTAGACCTGGTTTAGACCTGGTTTAGACCTGTTTTAGACCTGGTTTTAGACCTTTTAGACCTGGTTTAGACTTGGTTTAGACCTGGTTTAGTTTCCAGCAATGAGTGGAATTACAAAAAAAAAAAAAAAAGGGATATAGCCCAAAATGTGAAAACAGTTAAATCCCTCTGTGTAATCCATTTATTTCAACAAAGTAACTGTAATCCAATTACCACTCACTGAAACAGTAACTGTAACTGAATACAGTTACTCATAATTTGTACTCTGATTAAGTAACTCCGGTACGACTTTTGGGAAAATTGTGGTCCTGGTCTTGGGACCTGGTCTTGGTCTGGTCTGTGGTCTTCTGGTCTTGGACTGTGGTCTCTGGTCTGGGACCCTGGTCTTGGTCTCTGGTCTTGGGAGTCCTGGTCTTGGACCCTGTGGTCTTGGTCCCTGGGCTGGTCTTGGGACCCTGGTCTGTGGTCTTGTCTGGTCCCTGTGGTCTCTGTCTTGGGACCCTGTGGTCTTGTCCTGGTCTTGGTCCTCGATTGAGTGTTTTTGACTGACACTAATTTATTTGTACATTCTGAGTGGTAAATGGTCAATGGTCACATTTTTCTGGTCCACCTTGGCACTCAAAGCGTTTTACAACGACCACTTTTCATGGACCCTGTGGGCAAGGTGGGTTAAGTGTCTTGGGACCCTTTTGACTTTGTGGTCTGGATCTGTCACTTGGTTTATGTCGAGAGCTGAATCGAACCACCAACCTTTGATTAGTGGGCAAATGCTCCACCAACTGAACTACTGCCGTTGTTTACTCTTTTGACCGATTAATATCAACAAGTGAAAATGGAATATGTTCATTTTTCATTTAGTTGCGTAATAATTCTGCACATGAATAGTTCTGCACACATAGATTTTCTCCTGAGAAAATATTCAGGTTTGAGTTTTATTCCCGTTGTGGTTTGACCCAGAGCTCCGTCGCTGCTCAATTATAAAATGAATCCTCATAAATACAAGTGTTTAAAAATAAAATTAAGCGGCAAGGTGGAGTAACATACAATTTTGAATCACAAAGATAACCCGCTTAAAAGATAAAATATAAATAAAACCGATAAGTAGCAGCTATAGAACGTAAAGTCAGAGTTTAACTCCCGAACAGGCTCCATAAACCTGTTTCGGTCGGCCTCCCCTCTGAAGGCGCTTTTATCTCCTTTTATGACATTAATTATTAAAATACATTTCTAAGTTACAATCCTGAATCCATTTTACGGCTCCGCACTGTTAAACCGAGCCGTAAGTCCTAATACTCCTGATTATTTATGACGCTCTTCGGTATAAAACCAAAGTGAGGCGTAAATCTGAGAACAAAATCCATTATAATGAGTTTTACGAGCATTAATATTAGAGCGGATTTTAAGAAGAAGAAGCGGCGGAAACGGACAGAAAGACAGAGCGACGAAAGAAAGAAAAGAGAGAGGAGAGAAAGGAGAGAGAGAAGCAGAAGAAAGAAGAGAGGAGACAGATACTTTTACTTTTAACTCACTGCAAAGAGGAGAGAGAGAGAGAGACGAGGAGAAAAAGGAGAGAAAAAGTGGAGAGAGAGAGAGAGAGAGGAGAGGAAGAGGGAGGAAGAGAGGAGAGGAGCGGGAGGGGGAGAGAAAGAGGAAAGGCAAAAAGGGAAAGAGAGAGGAGAGGGAGAGAGGAGAAGGGAGAAAGAGGAGCAGGAGAGAAGAGAGAGAGAGAAGAGGGAGGATCAGGGGGAGGGAGAGAAAAGAGGAGAGAAGAGGAGAGAAAGGAAGAGAGAGGGAGAGAGGAGAGAGGAGAGAGAAAAAGGGAGAGAGAAGAGAGAGAGGACAAAGAGGGAGAAAGAGGAGAGAGGAGAAAATAGAGGAGGGAAGAGAGAAAGAAGAGAGAAAATGAGAGAGCGGGGAGAAAGAGAGAGAAAAGTGGAGAACGAGGAGAGGAGAGAAAGAGAAGAAGAAGAGAAAAAGGAGAGAAAAAGTGGAGAGAGAGAGGAGAGGAAGAGGGAGGGGAGAGAAAGAGAAAGGCAAAAAGGGAAAGAGAGAGGAGAAGGGAGAAAGAGGAGCAGGAGGAGAGAAGAGAGAGAGAAAGAGGAGAGAGGGGACAGAGCGGAGAGACAGAGTGGAGAGAAAGAGGAGAGAAGAGAGAGAGGAGAAAGAGTGGAGAGAAAGGGGAGAGGAGAGAGGAAGAGAGAGAAAGAAGAGAAGAGAGAGAGAGAGAGAAGAGAAGAAAGAGGGGAGAATCAGGGGAGAGAAAATGGAGAGGAGAGAAGGGAGAAAGAGGAGAAAGGGGGGAGAGAGGGGAGAAAGAGAAGAGACAGGAGAGAGAGAAAAAGGCGAGAGAGAAGAGAGAGAGGACAAAGAGGGGAGAGGAGAGAGGGAGAAAGAGAGGAGGGGAGAGAGAGAAAGATGAGAGAAAATGAGAGAGGGGGGAGAAAGGAAAGAAAAAGTGGAGAGAGAGAGAGGAGAAGGGAGAACGAGGAGAGGAGAGAAAGAGAAGAAAGAAGAGAGGAAACAGATACTTTTACTTTTAAATCACTGCAAAGAGGAAAGAGAGAGAGAGACGAGGAGAAAAAGGAGAGAAAAAGTGGAGAGAGAGGAGAGGAACAGGGAGGAAGAGAGGAGAGGAGAGGGAGGGGGGAGAGAAAGAGGAAAGGCAAAAAGGGAAAGAGAGAGAGGAGAAGGGAGAAAGAGGAGAGAGGGGACAGAGTGGAGAGAAAGAGGAGAGAAGAGAGAGAGGAGAAAGGGGACAGAAAGGGGAGAGAGGGGAAAGGAGAAAGAGTGGAGAGAGAGAGAGAGAGGAGGGGAGAATGAGGAGAGAGAGAGAGAGGAGAAAGAAGGGAGAATCAGGGGAGAGAAAATGGAGAGGAGAGAAGGGAGAAAGAGAAGAGACAGAGGAGAGAGAGAAAAAAGACGAGAGAGAAGAGAGAGAGAGGACAAAGAGGGGAGAGGAGAGAGGGAGAAAGAGAGGAGGGGGGAGAGAGAAAGATGAGAGAAAATGAGAGAGAGGGGGGAGAAAGGAGAGAAAAAGTGGAGAGAGAGAGGAGAGCGATAGAGGAGAGAAAGAGGAGAGAGACGCAAGAGAGAGGGGAGAGAGAGAGAGAGGAGAAGGAAGAACGAGGAGATGGAAGAGAGGAGAAAGTGGAGAGAGAGGAGAGAAAGAGAAGAGGGGAGACAGGAGAAAGGCGGGAAGAAAAAGTGGAAAGAGAGAGGAGAGAAGAGAGAGGGGACAGAAAGGGGAGAAAGAGAGGAAAGAAAAAGGGGAGAGAGAGACAGTAAAAGTGGAGAGAGAGATTAGAGGAGAAAGAGGAGAGAGAGGGGAGAGAGAGAGGAGAGGAGAGAAAGAAAAGAGGGGAGAGAGGAGAAAGGGGAGAAAGAGGAGAGAAAAAGTGGAGAGAGAGAGAGGAGATGGGAGAGATGAGAAAGGGGGGAGAGAGAGGACAGGAGAGAGAAGAGTGAGACAGGAGAGGGGAGAAAGAGAAGAGACAGAGGGGAGAGAGGAGAAAGAGAGGAGAGGAGAGAGGGAGAAAGAGAGGAGGAAGGAGAGAGAAAGATGAGAGAAAATGACAGGGGGGGGAGAAAGGAGAGAAAGAGAGGGTAGAGAGAGGAGAACGAGAGAGGAGAGGGAAGAAAGAAGAAGAGAGACAGAGAGAAAGAGAGAGAGAGAGAGAGAGAGGAGAGAGAGAAAAAGAGAGAGAAGGAGAGAGAGGGAGAGGAGAGGAGAGAAGAGGAGAAAGAGGAGCAGAGAGAGAGAAAGAGAGGAGAGAGAGAGCGAGGAGAAAGAGGAGAGAGAGAAAGGAGAGGGGCAAGAGGAGACAAAGGGGAGAAAGGAGAGAGAGAAGAGAAAGAGGAAAGAGGAAACTGGACAGAACTAAAGAGTCATATTGACCTGAGGTGCAGCTGCTCCTTGTGCTCGTAGATTCAGTGGTTTGTTTAAACTCTTCTGTTCTTAAGTCTGTCAGTTTGGTTTGTCGGGTTCACAGGTTTGAAACAAACTGAAACATTAAAGTCTCCACATCTTTGTTCATTTTTAAAAACACAATAAACTAAAACCCCGTTCAGCTGATGACTTCTAAACTATTACTTCAAATTATATCTTATGGTTTGATTTACATGTTAAAAAAAAAAAAACAAAAGAGAAAGAGTTGAACATTGCAAAAAACCTTAAGATATAAACACTTAAATCTATCAGAAAATGACTTCAAAGTAGTGAAATGATCTTACTTTACTTGACAAGTTCTCTTAAAATAAATGACCTTTAGACTAGAATGACGCAGTCTCTGGTCTAGTAAGTACATAATAAATCTGAAAACTAGATGCATGTATCTCTTGGTCTCTTGTATTATGAAAGGTGTTTTAAAAATGAATTAGACAAGGTCGGGAACTGTCACCTGCACGTCCCGTCTGCATTTTGAATGCAACGGGCCCCATTTAAAAGCCAAGGTCAGCTCCAGAATGTCCCATTCAAAAAGTATTTGTTAAATTATGCTTAACATTTTGTCATTTTTGTAATCAAATAAATAAATAAATGAACTAGAAAAGCACTCAGAGAGCGCAGACCTCCACCAAGGACTACAGTCCCCCTCATATTAATTGTGTTTTCCATAAATATTTGTCTCGTATCTTTCAATTTGGAATATGAAAGAGGATCCCATTGTCCATCCCTGAGTCAAATTTCATGGGGTTTGGTCAATAATTAACCCAGATATTGAGAAACAAAATTTTTGGCCCCATTTACCACAATGTTAACTAAAATTTCAAAGTGATCCAGAATCCAGGATTTCTTCCAGATCACCCCCCAAAATGAAATCAGTTCTTCCTTTTCACATTTCCAACAAATCCTGAAAATTTCATCAAAATCGGTCCATAACTTTTTGAGTTATGTTGCTAAGAGACAAACAAACAAACAAACAAACAGACAAACAAACAAACAAACACACAAACAAACAAACAAACAAACAAACAAACAAACGCCGGCAAAAACATAACCTCCTTGGCGGAGATAATAAAATACATTTTGGTTGCCTTAAAAACAGCTATTTAAAGGTGCTATATCACTGTATTTTTCGGAGTTTGCAACAAACAGCGGCGCGTGATGTCCGAGTCCGGATCGAGTCCACTGTCATGTGATCTTCGCCGATTTCCGACCACGTGAATGGATCGGAACAACCCTAGTTTGAGTAGAGGTGTCAAATTATCACGTTAATTGCGATTAATTAATTACAGTCATATTTAGCGCGTTATGTTTTTTAATCGCGTTAATCTCATTTTTAATCTCTAACTTTACTGTTTCTGTATGCGAGTTGTCTTATTATAAAATCTGTTTATATGTGTTGTTTGGACACAGTCTCGCACTGTGCAGTCCTGCTCCACTCACTCCCGCAAATAATTGTAGCATAATTTTCATTCCCGTTCTCGCCGCATCTGTGATAAACCTGCACACGTCTGATCTCTGAAAACATCGTGACACAGACACAGAACAGACTCACCTTCAGCAGAACATCTATATTCCAGTGAATCGTGTCCTTTAGTAGAAGTTGAACCACATCAGCACAAGAGCGTTTTTTTTTTTTTTTTTTTCTTTTCTTCGCTTAGTTTATGCAAATTAGCCATGTGGTTTTAAGTTTTATTTCTGTGAGACTTGCACAAAGCTGCACTAAACACATTATAATGTCAAACGGGCTGATGTGGCTCTAGAACAGGAGTGTCAAACTCATTTTGGTCCGGGGGCCGTAATCCAACCGACTTTGATCCCAAAGGGGTCGGATAAGAAAAGTCATGGCATATAAACCCCCAAAAAATAGCAATAAGTTCAAATATTTGTAAAGAGAAACACAAATCTATTACAGAAATCTTTTTTAATTGATGAACTCTTTCTTGAACAAAATATTATAATATTGTAAACAACCTGAAACTTTAAGAAAAATGCAATTTCAACACAAAGTTTTAACATGAACTTGTATGTATTTCATAGAATTTAGTCATGCTTCTTTTTGCTCCTGAAACGTGGCAACTTTTAGCCGGAACAAGTGCATCAATATCAGGCTCCATGTCCTGAGTAGCTGCTTCTTCAGAATGTTAATCAAGGGTTTGTGTTCAACTTTGAGCGCAGTTTTGTTTTATTAATGTTCATTAGCACTGTTGGGCAAGTTACTTTAAAACTGTAATGCGTTATTTATTACTTATTACTGTCATTTCAAAGTAATTCGTTACATTACAATATTACTGCATTTAAAATGTAAGGCATTACATTACTATTACATTACTTTAAGTTACTCTCACCAAAATAACTGCGAAAAAGCTGAACTTTTGGGCCGTATATGGACTGAACCAGGACTAAACAAGGTCTAAACCAGGACTAAACCAGAGCTGAACCAGGACTAAACCAGGACTATAACAGGACTAACCTCAGACTGATTCCAGGACTGAAGAGGAGAACTAAACCAGAACTGAACTAGGACTAAAACAGGACTCACTGTAGGGACGGGCTTCGAAGGTGACGCAGGAGAAAGGACCGGCTTTGCTCCGCACCTCATGGAGGTAAGAGCGGCTGTCGCCCGATCGCTCTTTATGGACCCTGCTGCTCGGGCTCACGGTCCTGATTTCAGCAACTATTTGCGGGTACAAGACCCGGTGCAAAACTCTGCTACAGCGCGTAACTTCTACCTTCCTTCAACGTGTCCAGAAGTCCAACTTTTTGTGCGATGGTTTGCATCGTCCTCTGTCTTTTGGGTGTGAGCGCAGGAGACTTTGTCGGTGCAGAACATTTCGTCGACGTTGTGGATTTTGTCGGAGAGAAAACTTGCAGACATACAGCACTTCAGAATCACACTGCTAGAGATTGAACATTTATTTAAATTTGGCAGCTGAACATATTCTGTACTGTAGAGGAGACAGGAGTCCCTCAGCCGATCAGGACACAGCGGGAGGAACGCAATACGTGTTCATACACTAAAAACAAAAGGCATGCAAAATTGCACAAAATTTTTTTTCTAAAAATCAGCGAAACAGCGAGACCGCGAAAAGTGAATCGCGTTAGAGCGAGGACCGAGGTCTGTAAGGCCAGGTCTAAACCAGAAGTGACCCAGGTCTAAACCAGGTCTAAACCAGGTCTAAACAGCGTAGAGTTCTGGGTCGGTCCTTTCACCCGCGGTTAACTGAAGGTTTATCCGGCCGCGTCTCCGGCGTTTCACCGCTGCTGATTTCACGGTGATTTTAGCGAATTTCTATGAAGAAAAACCCACCACTTCAATCCAGGTTAAAAAAGCATTGTAACGCGCGTTACTCACATTTGTACCGAGTAAAATATTACAATTTTTCCCCGTGTAATGCCTTACATTACTGCGTTACAGCAAAAATCAACGCATTACTGTAATACATTACTTTTATAATACATTACTCCCAACACTGTTCATTAGTGAGAAAACCTGCTCACAAAGGTAATAACTATAAATCTATTATTTCTAGTTACATGTCTGCGGCACATCAGAGGTTCTGACTGTAAATGGTGTGCGAAAAAAAGCAAATTCTGTCTTCAAGTTTTAAAATATAATTAAAATATTTTGGTAGAAAATCACCCGAGGGCCAGATTAAAGGTCATGGAGGGCCGGATCTGGCCCCCGGGCCGTATGTTTGACACCCCTGCTGCACTAGAATGTTTATGGTTTATATGTTGTAAAGTTGAGTTTTTTTATTCAGATTAGTAATAGTAATAATGATGATACTTATATAAAAACATTAACGATGGACTGAAAATAATGTAATAATGAATTTAAATGAAAATACCTCAAGTTCAAGCTTTTCTCAGCAATTTTTAGGTGAGATTTAAAAAGAGATTAATTAATTACAGATCATAATTAATTAATCTCTCAATTTTTTTAAAATCTCTTGACAGCACTAAGTTTGAGTAACACTTCATTATTAGTCTGTCTACATCTCCAAACCTCAAAAAGCTCTGTTCCACCTTGTGATGTCATGAAGTGTTATAGTTTCCAACTTAACAGCTCCTTTTACCTTTTACTTTCAGTTCACTGCAAATTTCTCTGATCTGGCCAAGATTTTAAAACTTATATCCAGTTATATATCTTGTTTGCAGATTTATTATCGACTTACTAGACCAGAGACGGCGTAATTCTCGTCTAGAGGCCGTTTATTTTAAGATAACTTGTCAACTGAAATGATCTCGCTGCACGGACACATAATTTCACTACTTTTAAGTCATTTTCTGATAGATTTAAGTGTTTATATCTTCATTTTGGAGACGTGTAGAGAGAAGAGTAGAGGGAGTGTTTTCAGTTTGAGAGAAAAACTCGGCGTAAATGTGCAGGGTTTGTGCGTTTGAACACGTGTGAACGAAACAAAACACAAACTCCAGGTCTGTTTGCGACGAGGAAACAACATCAAAACAGCTCAGAAAACAGCGAAATACGGGACATTTAATGCGAGACCGGCTAAAAGCTAAACCGGACTCCCCCGTAATGGTGATGGAGCGTGATTACCTACCGCGCTCTAGATGGTCTGTAATGATGATGGGTTTACCTGGAGCACCTGCCGCACTGACAGGCGCCGCAGACAGGGGGCGTCCTCGCAGCCCGTCCTGTTGAGGAAGACCAGGTTGTCCCTCTCGGCTTCGGGGAGCGTGGCTTTGTACACGAACGAGCCGCTCATGTCCACGGCGGCTCGGAAAAGACCTTTGGCCAACGGAGACGTCATCAGGGTCCAGACCGAAGTGCCGCCTGAAAGTACACGATGCAGAGGAAGAGCGTGAGGATACGGCGCAGAGGAAGACGGAGAGAAAATATAGGGTGCAGAGGAAGAGCGTGAGGATACGGCGCAGAGAAGACGGAGAGAAAATATAGGGTGCAGAGGAAGCGTGAGGATACGGCGCAGAGGAGGACGGAGAGAAAATATAGGGTGCAGAGGAAGAGCGTGAGGATACGGCGCAGAGGAAGACGGAGAGAAAATATAGGGTGCAGAGGAAGAGCGTGAGGATACGGCGCAGAGGAAGACGGAGAGAAAATATAGGGTGCAGAGGAAGAGGTGAGGATACGGCGCAGAGGAGGACGGAGAGAAAATATAGGGTGCAGAGGAGGAACGTGAGGATATGGTGAAGAGGAGGACCGTGAAGATACAGTGCAGAGGAGGAACGTGAGGGTATGGTGCAGAGGAAGATGGTAAGTATATGGTACAGAAGAGGAACATGAGGTGCAGAGGAAGACATGAGGTGCAGAAGAGGGACGTGAGAATACAATGTAGAGGAAGACTGTGAGGATACGGTGCAGAGGAAGACCGTGAGTATATGGTACAGAGGAAGTTCATGAGTATACGGTACAGAGGAAGATTGTGAGTATACGGTACAGAGGAAGATCATGAGGATATGGTGCAGAGGAAGATCATGAGGATATGGTGCAGAGGAAGATCATGAGGATATGGTGCAGAGGAAGATCGTGAGAACATGGTACAGAAGAAGAGAGTGAGGATATTTTGCTGAGGAAAACCATGAGGATACGGTGCAGAGGAAGCGAGAGAATATATGTACAGAGGAGGAGAGACACGGTGCAGAGGAAAACCGCAAAGGAAAGGAGGAAATATACAGTACAGAGGAAGAGAAGAGAAGGAATATACGATACAGAGGAAAAGAGGGAATATATGGTACAGAGGAGGAAAGGGAAGAGAGAGACAACACGGTACAGAGGAAGAGAGGCAATATGTGGTACAGAGGAAAACAGTGAGAATAAGGTGCAGAGGAAGAGAAGAGAGAGAATAAACGGTACAGAGGAAGAGAGGAAAGAGAGAGAATAAATGGTCCAGAGGAGGAGAGGGAATAAATGGTAGAGAGGAAGAGAGAGAATAAACGGTACAGAGGAGAGAGAGAGAGAGAATAAACGGTACAGAGGAAGAGAGAGAATAAACAGTACAGAGGAAGAGAGAGAAATAAATGGTAGAGAGGAAGAGAGAGAATAAACGGTACAGAGGAAGAGAGGGAAAGAGAGAGAATAAACGGTACAGAGGAAGAGAGAGAATAAACGGTACAGAGGAAGTGAAAGAAGAGAGAGAATAAACGGTCCAGAGGAAGAGAGAGAATAAACAGTACAGAGGAGGAGAGAGAAATAAATGGTAGAGAGGAAGAGAGAGAATAAACGGTACAGAGGAAGAGAGGGAAGAGAGAGAATAAACGGTACAGAGGAAGAGAGGAAGAGAGAGAATAAACGGTACAGAGGAAGAGAAGGAAGAGAGAGAATAAACGGTCCAGAGGAAGAGAGAGAATAAACGGTCCAGAGGAAGAGAGAGAATAAACGGTACAGATGAAGAGAGGAAAGAGAGGGAATATACAGCACAGAGGAGCTTTATGCAAATAATATATATATTTTTAAATTCAATTCAAGAGTCATGCCGCGAAGTAATTTTTGAAAAGTAATTAAAAACGTATAATTCATAAACCAGATTTGTCAGTTTTCTCGTTTAAAGGGAAGATACTTGGAAGTCAGAATTTCTAACTTGCATAATTAAAAAAGTCCACGCAGAGCGAAGCCTTAATTGTGGGATCAAACACCAGACTGTTTCTCTTTGATTTCAGGCTCCGACGCTCGGTTCTGACTCCACCAGACGACTTCATGAGATCAAAACACGAAGAAGAGGAAGAAGTGAGATTTTCTGTACGAGGATTTTAATGGTAAATGGTCAAATTTGGATCCAGCGCTTTTCCACCTTCAACTCTCTCAAAGCTCTTTAATCTTCAGTGTTAGTCAAGTAATTGCCGTAATTTCTGGACTATTGAGTGCATCTGAATATCAACCACAGCAACTCAGTTTTACAAGAAAAAAAATTGTACATATACAGGCCGCACTTCTCTATAAACCGCAGATGTCCACGCTGTAACTTGAGATATTTACACAGAATTTAAGTAAACACTGGTACCGTATTTTTCGGACTATAAGTCGCACTTTTTTCATGGTTTGGGTGTTTCCTGTGACTATATTTAATTATATTGTATATTAAAATGTTTCAGTGAAGTGTGGAGAAGTTCTTGTCTTGTGTGTGAGTATCTGCTGCTCCTGTTCCTCCTGTACCACTGTCACTTCACTCTACTGCTCATGTCTCCTGCAGAAAGAGCCTCTGTCCTGCTGCAAGTCGTGACATATTCAGCTGAAAATGGTTACCGGGCAGCAGAAAGAAAGTTTGGAGTGAGCGAGAAACTTGTGAGCGACTGGGGGAAAGTGGGGATGGAGAACACAGCTTCACGGGAACCGGGAGGAGGCACCATGAAACTTTACTGAAGTCACTGGATGGATGGACAAATCTGAACTTCAGTGACACTGAAACCATCCTGTCGGGATTCAGAAAGACCTGAATAATTCTAACTGGAACTGATGCTGAGTCTGAGGACAGCGACACAGAAGAGGAAGCGACGCTCTGTTTACCTCCGGAGGTCGTGGAGTTGTTCAGAAGTGACACCGAGGATGAAGAATGAATGGATTTAGTGATTTGGAGTGAGATGGAGAGTTTGTTAAACTTGTTCTGTTCTGTTGTTTATGTTATCTACTGTTTACGTTAACAGTCTGTTGTTCTGTTATTTTTATTATAACTTGACTTTACACAGGAAATGTCAGCTCCTGGTCTCTGATTTTATAAAATAAATTTCCCCAAAAAGTGCGAATTATATATGTTTTTTTTCTTCTTCATTACACATTTTTTTGGCTGGTGCGATTTATAGTCCGGAAAATACGGTACTTGCTTTTTCCCAACAGTGGAACAGGATTCTCACTGTACTCCACATTGTCTGAGGATGAACGAGGTTCATTTGGTCTTCTGATAATTTATGTTATTAGGTTCTTTTTTCAGACCAACAGTTTGTTTTTATACCTGACAGTTTCGACTGTTCAATAACGGTCTTCCTGTGGTCACGTGATGTTTCTGTGACATGTCTGCGAGGGTGCATCATTTTCCCCAATACCAAATAAAATACTAGAAAAGCACTCAGAGAGCGCAGACCTCCGCCAAGGACTACAGTCCCCCTCATATTAATTGTGTTTTCCATAAATATTTGTCTCGTATCTTTCAATTTGGAATATGAAAGAGGATCCCATTGTCCATCCCTGAGTCAAATTTCATGGGGTTTGGTCAATAATTAACCCAGATATTGAGAAACAAAATTTTTGGCCCCATTTACCACAATGTTAACTAAAATTTCAAAGTGATCCAGAATCCAGGATTTCTTCCGGATCACCCCCAAAATGAAATCAGTTCTTCCTTTTCACATTTCCAACAAATCCTGAAAATTTCATCAAAATCGGTCCATAACTTTTTGAGTTATGTTGCTAACAGACAAACAAACAGACAAACAGACAAACAGACAAACGCCGGCAAAAACATAACCTCCTTGGCGGAGGTAAAAATGTGTGGAATATTTGCTCAGTTGAATAAAATCTACTGGGTCCACTGAGACTCTTAAATTCCATCCTAACGGTGTCCATGACAGAGACATAAAACTGGTACCAAATGATCCACAGTGTCCATATTTATATTCAACTTGTACTGATACTAAGGGCTAAATTAATGATTTTTGATGTTATTAAAGAAAAACTGAGTTTTCAGCTCAGATTTAATATTCTTTCAATTTCATTTCTCTCCAGCGAGAGAATCAGGAAGAACCCCAGAAGTTGTAGACGGCGCACCAACCAATCAGCAAAGAGTGAAGTCATGACGTCAAACTCGTCGCGTCTGTCTGTGTCACTTTTGTGGAACAACACAACAGTAAACAAAGCGTCGAGATGAATGTAGACGAAGACAGACATTCTGTGTTGGCAACGATTCCCGAGATCAAGGATTTAAAGTTGGAATAAAGAGAATGTTTGGTGAATTTTATCAAGAGGAAAGACGTTATTGTTCTTCTTCCTACAGGATTTGGTGCATTACATACGTCACGACCAAACAGCAGCGATTGGTTAAATAAAAAAGTACCCGCCTACCGTCGAGCGAACAAATCCTAATGCTGCGAGGTCAGGACGGTTTCAACGAAGTGAAACCGTCAGATGAAGCTGGCTAAGAGTTTCAAGGGTCTATATTACACTTTATTATTTATATTTATACACTTTTATTATTTTCTGCTCTCTGTTCTAATGTTGTTTCCTCATCACAAACAGACCTGAAGTTTTTGTTTCGTTTCATGTTTAACACACAAACCTTGCAGATTTAGACTTCAGAGTTCTTCTCTCAAACAACAAACACTGTTCCAACTTGTGATTTCATGCGTTAATACAGAAAATAAGCGCTCCATTGTGTTTTTTAACTCCATACACCTTCACTAGAATCATTTGGATGATCTCTAATAAGGTAAAACTACCACTTCATGACATCACAAGGTGGAACAGAGCGTTTTGAGCTTTGGAGATGCAATTTAAACATGTGTGAATGAAACAAAACACAACTCCAGGTCTGTTTTTGGGGAGGTAACAGCATTAGAACACGACTTAAAGCTCACAAAAGTCAAATCTGCGTAATTTAAGACCTTTAATCAACTAATTATTTGTTTAGTTAGTGATTAAGTGAGCTGAAGATTTGGTATTTTCTGGTATTTCTATGTAAAAAGTCAAGATTAAACTCATAATTTTCAAGTTTATCTGTGTTTATATAGAAGTACATTGTTTCTTAGTTCTTTTTTCAGTATAAATAGTAGTTTTTACATGAGCTCCCCCTGCAGGTGAAGTGCTGTAAGTGCAGTTTGGGTCAGAATCTG